TTTTCAGGGATACAAACTTTTTCAGAACACCGGTAGACGGCAGCCATTACAGACGAACATGTGTTTGTTGTTGTTCCAGGAGCGACTCAGTCACACGCTAATGTCATTGGTTCATTATCATTACTGAGCTGCAGGACTGCTTTTTTTTCTTTTTTTTCACATCAAGTCACCTGCCTGGATCTGTTATTATCTCGCTCTGAGGCACGGAGGAGTGTTTGAGGTGAGCTCACTTCAACCACTTTTTTACATCGTGGTCTCATTTCCAGACTCAGGCATTTTGTGAATGAAGCCGATTCAGTTAAAATACATAAGTAAAAATATTTATCCGAGCACAGTACTTTATGGATGATTTTATGGATTAAATTTTTTGTATTATACTTGACTAAATACGGTAAGTATACTTTGTGTTATGCAAACCAAAATATGTTTTAGATTTTAGATTCTTCAAAGTAGGCACCTTCTGTTTAAATTTAAACTGCATACTCTCAGCTTTATGAGATAATAATAAAAGTAGATAATGCCAATTGTTGCCGCCTGCCTTGGCGACCCTTGACCCTTTTATTGTTCTGACATTCAGAGATTATTGACTTTTAATGTGTTCCAGGCTTTATCTTCAAACATGACCTAAAAATTCCAAATACTTTTGTACTGTTTCTTTTTTGTGACAGTTTATTGTAGCTTATTTGTTCTTTCAGAGTCTAAACTACTTTAGTATAATTCTACAGTGTAGGAAAAAAAACATTGAATAAGGTGTGTCCAAACGTTTGACTGGCAGTCTACATAATTAAACTGTCGTATCTTTTCCATCATTTGAATAAATATGTTCCAAACCTGCTTGTTCTTCATCAGGATGTTGTGATACTCCAGCTTGATGACTGGACCCAGCCGTGTTTTCCATCCCTATTTTACTTTCAGCTTCTTTCAGGTTTATTTGAGGCTCAGCCTCCATTTTCTCTTCTTCATAGACAACCTCATCTTCATCATCTTCATCCTCTACCTCCATCCCATTTATTTCCATTGGTTCTGTAAACAAACAAACAAAGCATATATATATATATACACTCACCGGCCACTTTGTTAGGTACACCACGCTAGTAACGGGTTGGACCCCCTTTTGCCTTCAGAACTGCCTCAATTCTTTGTGGCATAGATTCAACAAGGTGCTGGAAGCATTCCTCAGAGATTTTGGTCCATATTGACATGATGGCATCACCCGTTCCACCACATCCCAAAGGTGCTCTATTGGATTGAGATCTGGTGACTGTGGAGG